AGGGTATAATTTTTTTGTCTTCTTTAGATCCTTTTCCTGATGGGACCCTTTTAAAGAAAAATGCCCTTTTTCTACGCACTGATAATTCCCTTTCCAAACAGCTATTTGTTCATAAATTTGCTGCATTAACAAACAGCCCGTATCCACTTGCATTTTTTTGGTTTTACGCCCCTGTTCTTTTTTTATCTCTCTCCTTCTGGGGCCCTTTTTCTATTCCGGATATTGCCTTTTTGTTTTTGGGCTTACCCCCACCCATTCTGTTAATTGGTGATTTTAAATTTCCCCAAATTTTCCCCGGGGGGGGGCTCACTGTGATTTCCCCTGGAATTTTAGTTAGAGGCTTTTCTTGCCACCCACCCCCTCCATGTGTTAAATACAGGTTTCGCACACCCCTTTTGATCCCCGGACTCGTACTCCCCTTGCAAACGAAACTCTCAGTCTGCTCTTCCTCCCCCGAATTTGATTCACTTGGCTGTTCTCCCGGACTTACATGCACAACATTTCCCAAACCCTTCTTACTTCCCCTTCATATTACCACCCCTTCGCATTCCCCCCGCTGGCAATTTTTATCGGGCAAAAATTGGGGAAACCCTTTTCTCACACCTAACGTTTTTGAGAGGTTCCTTCTTCCCTCCCCCCATCGATGAGTTTTTTCACCCCCTTTTCCCTCCTCCCTTTTTTCCCCCAGCTTCTCCCTTTATACCCCAAAAATTCGGGCAGGCTTTTTCCCGGGGAAATTTCTGCCTTTGGGGGTTCCTGCTTGGCTCGGTGGAAGGGCAAAAGTTTGGGAAAACCCCTGCTTTGGGGGAGGTACCCTTTCAGTAAAACCACAAAAGAAATCCTTGATTTTAAAAAAGAATGTGCGATCCCCCTCGCCTGGGCATCCGTGACGCTAAACGGACTTGCTGGCGAGATTAATGTTTCCAATCACCTCTGCTTCCTCTTTGAGTCAGTCCCGGAAAAAAGTAGAAAACTGAGTTTGGGAAATATTCTCCTGCCCCGGGTCCCCGTTCGCGGGTTGCCGGTGTTGATATAGCAAAACCCCCTAGATGTTGCCAAAAGAAATTTGGGAAACCTTGGTCCTATTTCGCGGAAATCCCCCTTTTATTGGGCCCCTTTATTTTTTCCTCAAAGTCTGCCAGGAGTTAGCACCCTTGGACTTTTCTTCTCTCAGAGAAGAACAGTATAATTTTGCCTTTTTAAAACCCTTTAAGAATTTGGAAGGCCAAAACTCTTTAGCTTGCCCAACCGGCAGCTGGGGCCCCCCCGACATTCATATTTCTATGCAAAAACAAATTTTCATTTTGTCAGGCCTTGCGGTTTCCCATTAGCCTTTACAATCTTATTTGGGCACAAAAGGGGTTCTTCCAAAACTGTGGGGAAAACCGCCATTGTTTTTCCCCTTTTTGCAAACCCGGGCCCTACGGGACATGAAACCTCCCACATCTCCCATTGCCTTTTTACCAGTTTCAAATTTGCAAAGTAAAGGAAGCCTAGTAAATAGACGTTTAGTGTGGTTTTAGAGACACATAAAAAGTTTTTCTCCACTCGTCAAAATGGCTTTCGTTTAAAGGGGCGTTCTAACCCTAGACCCCCTTTCTTCCCCTTGGATACGTATGTTTCGTAATGCCTTTTTTCCCAATAACCCCCTCAATTTTTTGCCATATTTTTTTTACCCTTTAGAAGGCATAGACACAACCCTTTGGGGGTATAATATTTTTAGCCCAAGCCCATCCCCTTGGGCCCTTTGAGGCAAACTACCACCTTCCTTAAGAACTTTTTAACTGACAAAGGGATTTCCGTGTTCGGGTTAAAATGTGGGTCTCCCCGGACTTTTTCCAAGTGAAGGTTCCCCCCGGGGGGGTGTTCTGAGGGACAACACTTTTTCTCCTTTCTAAAATTTAAAGATTTGGCCTTAGTCTTCCCTCAATTTTTTGGTCATCCTCTTTTGTTGGTGATTTTGCCCATTGCCTGTGGGAGGCGCTGCCGTTACCTCATTACAGTTTTTCTTTTCCAACATGCAGTCACCGTGTTTCCCAATTGGGGCCCCACACGTGGGTTTTTAAAATTTTTCCAAACACTAAAACCCACCAAATTACTTTTTACTAGACGCTTTTTCTTTTCCGATCATCCTTTTTTACCCTATGGCCCCCCCCGTATCCCTGAAGGGGAACAGTCAAGTTTCTGGGCCTCCCCTTTGATCGAAAGGGGGATTTCCCGGAAAACCCCACATTACCCCTCTGAAAGGGAACTTGTCACAGCCCGGGTTGAACCTTCTTAAAAACCCCTTTCCCCATCTTTTTTGGGGAGCTGACCCTCGAACCCTCCTCCGCCTACTTTTCCCAAAACCCCTTTTTTTATCGAAACTTGATTAAAGGGGACCAACCCATTCAGCGGCATCTCCTGCACCCTCCTAGCCCTTAAACCCCATTTTATCAAACCCAAAGGGTTACGTTTTTGCCCCTTTGGGGCTTTTCGCTTTCCCCCCCCAAAAAGCCTCTATACGAAGCGAAAGTTTCCCTCTTTATCCGACGCCGTGATGCCCCCTTGCCTTTCGAAAAAAATATGTACGGGTCTCAAAATCTCCCGCAATCCTTTCCTTTATAGAATGGTCACTGATTTTTAGTAGACATTCTTTTTTTGATTCGCTCCCCCCCGTTTTACCCCTCCCCTTTTCTCTTCGCCTTCATTCGCTCTTGGGTTTTTCTTCAACTACCACCTTTTATGTACATGTACATCCCACTTTTCCCCCCACCCCCCCGGGGAAATTCCCCGCTGTTCCCAAATCTGTTTTTTTCTCCCTCCCCGCTTTGAAGCCCCCAAATGTCTACGGTCGCTTCCCTCTCTTTTTCTTACCCCTTTCACCCCTTTTTCGTGCCCTTGCCGTGTACACAGATGGCTCTAATCTTTTGAGGCGTAGGATTCGCAGCAAATGTTTCCGGGAAGCTCGTTTTTAAGGGGATTTACTATCTTGGGTTTGTATTTTTACGGGGTGAATTGTTTTCCATCCTTACAGCACTTATCCCTATTGCATCTATGCCTGTGTCATCATTTGTGGTTGTCTCAGACTCCCTTAGTGCTTTACAGGCTATATAAAAATTTGATACACCTCACCCCTTAGTCCTCCGTATCCAACTTTGGCTACGCCGCATCTTTACCAAGCATAAAGATATTGTTTTTTGTTGGGTCCCTGGTCATGTTGACGTACAGGGCAATGAACAGGCAGACACTGCTGCGCGGTCAGCAGTACATGACCTACCACGTTTCTTATAGAGGTATTCCATTTACGGACTATTTTGCTGCAATATCTTCCCACCTTCACACCCGTTGGCAGCAACGTTGGTCTACTATGCTCGGCAACAAACTTCAATCTATTAAACCGAGTATAGGTTACTGGCCGTCTTCTTATCACCAGTGTCGAGGTTGGGAGACTACTCTCTCCCGTCTTCGCATTGGCCATACTCGTCTTACTCATGGATATCTCATGGAGAGGCGTCCTGCTCCTCTCTGTGTGAATTGCCAAGCTCCATTGTCAGTCAGCCACATTCTGTTGGATTGCCCACTTTATCAACGAGCACGCAGAATTTACCTCTGTCGTCGTCTTCGCTCCGCTACTCTCTCTTTACCTTCCCTTCTCGCTGATGGACCCACCTTTCATCGGACTCTCTCATTGACTTTTTGACAACAACTGACTTACTTCACAAATTCTGATACCTTCAGCCCTTTCTACTTCAATCTCTTGCTACCCCCGTACTATCCCCTGCCCCGCTGTTTTCTGTAACCTGCTGATCATCCCTCCTCCCTTCTGCCATCCAATACCCTCGCTTCCTTCCCTACCCTGCAGCGCTGTATAGCCCTTGTGGCTTAGCGCTTCTTTTTGATTATAATAATAATAATGAGGATACTGGGTGTTAGCCAGGGACTGTTCAGTCTCTTTGCAGTCATCTGTTTAGTTTTTTAGGGCAGTGCTTGTTATAGAGGTATTGGGTCTTTTTTAGAAAATTATTAATACATTCATCAATATCTGTATAGATTTCTAACTCAGTGTGCCAGGCAATGTTTGTCACTGCTGCTGTGAAGTTATTGATAGCTGCCTCATTGTGAAGTCTGAAAGTGACTTTAGTAGTATCTAGGGGTAATTTGCCAAGGTTTGTTATGAGGAAGGTAGGGTAATGGGTCTGTGTATTATCTGTGATTATGGCCCTGATCTTAAGGGGATATGGTGTTGGTCCAGATGTGGTCTAGTAGGGAAACACTAGTCTCTGTACTCTTGTAGGTTTTTGTTACTGTGGTAGCAACATGCAGTTACGTTCATGTGTTTGTGAATTCAGTAACATGTGGGTCTTGGTCTTGTAGGAGAATTTTATATTGAAGTCACCTGAGAGTAGTAAGTGAGCTTTGTTCATGCGTGCATCAGTTTATCATACTTCCTAGTTTTCACTAAAACGGCTAATGTTTGACTGGTGGTACTCTGTAGATGTTTTATCACTGTGAGAGGGTTTTGTAGGTATTTGGATTTTGAATTTAGCTATTATATATTTCCCATGTTTTCATTCCCTTTGCAAGTATTAGTGATACATTCTAGTGGTCTGAGTAGTATATAGCTGTGCCACCCCCCTTGTGATCTGGCCTACAGTTGTGTATGGCTGTGTAACCGAATGGCATAGACATCTGTAGTATCAGGCTTTAGCCCAGGTTTCGTGAAGTAATGATGGACATACTGGCATGCAGAATTTAGTAATGCTATGAGTCATCGTAATGTTTTGATAAAAGATCTGATATTGTTTTTAAAGATAGTTTATGTTTGTTGTTGGCTCTGAGAAGTCCATTGATTGTTCTGCTATGTAGTAATTACAGTTTACTGTTTGATTCATTTAAGTCATTAGATAAGAGGTTTGATCAAAGGAATCAATGCTAGTTATCATAAGATTTATAGCGAATCTAAAGTTAGAATAAGTATAAGACAAAGTAAATATTCAAACTATAAAATCAGCACCTGAATTATTTTAACAAATGTAAAAAAAAATGAGCTAAGGTAGCTCTTTAAAGCTAAAATAAATGAGGCAATATAAAAGGGACTAAAATAATTTGTGGTGAACAAAAAAGTGGTAATCAAATAAATGAATATAATGGCAAAATAATGAGCTTATTACACTTTAGCACCTGAGAATAGCACCTTGATTATTTTAACAATTGTGAATATATGAACTAAGGTTGTTATATAAAGCTAATATAAAAGAGAAAAAATATAAGGGACTATATTAAGTAATGGTAAACAAAGTTAAAATGACAGATAGTCACTATGATATAATGTTGATTTTAAAGGGACACGAGAAATAAAGCTCTCTGGACAGATATTTTGTGTGACAGGGGTCCAGTTACTCTCAAGCTGGTCATAGTGGCATTAAAAACCCAAGAAGGGAGGTAACCCCAGAAAAGGACTCGTTACATGAAGTATTTATAGAATAGGATTCCCCTTCCAAACAACGCCTTCATCCTCTCCCGTCTCATCACTCATTAAGTCCACAATAAAGGTGTCATTTCAGTAGTGTTTATTGTGCATGTATCATTGTTTTCTATACAGGAGGGCCCCACTTATACGGCGGGTTAGGTTCCAGGCTACCGCCATAAAGCGGAAACCGCCGTAAAGTGGAACACCCTTTTTTTCCACTTACAAATGCATACAAACACTAGATAACAAGTTTACACTAACATATATTATGTTAGCAATAGAACCAGGCATCAAAAAACAATAAAAAAGTACAATACACACATAGTGCACTCATTACTTACCTTAAAATATTTATAGTCTTAATCTAGGGTGAGACAAGTAGTATTTATTGTAAGAAATCAAGTGTGGTATGTATGGTAGTCAGCAGGCTACCATACCAGGCACCCCACCCACACATACTATTCTATGATATTTAAGCATCCCAGAGCGATAAAATGTATATACAGTTCACTCATTACTTACCTTAAAATATAGGGTGAGATGAGTAGTATTTATTGTAAAAAATCAAGTGTGGTATGTATGGTAGTCAGCCAGGCTACCATACCAGGCCAACCCACCCACACATACTATTCTATGATATTTAAGCATCCCAGAGCGATAAAATGTATATACAGTTCACTCATTACTTACCTTAAAATATAGGGTGAGATGAGTAGTATTTATTGTAAAAAATCAAGTGTAGTATGTATGGTAGTCAGCCGGGCTACCATACCAGAGAGAAAGAGTGCATGAGAGAGGACAGGCGCAGAGTTATGTAAACAAACCAGGCGAAGGTAAGTTTTGTAAACAGTGTACACGTCTGGTTTGTGTACAAGTTACATTGTGTACAGGTTGTCTCTACATTGATACGGTAGAATAAATAAATAAAGAACACTCCCATTCTCATGTAACATCATTTTGAGAAGAAATGATGCTCTGAGTGAAGGCAATGGAAGTAAGTCACTCTGACTTTTTTGGGTTATCCTAGGTTCTCTACACATATGTTATGTATTTATGTTATGTATCGTGTTTATTATATAATTTTGAAAAAAATATCACGGATGGATTAATGAAAATGTGTATATTAACGTAATATACAACATTTAATGATACACCGAGCTCAGACAGAGTAAACAAACAAACTGAACAGGTTGTGGACGATCACTCGGTCAGGCGAAATAGACGGTATTAATACCTGTCCAGTTTTAGTTCATTCATGTACATTTGTAAGAGTTTGTGAAACTTTTACCTTATAATATTTTTATTATTATAATTAAATCACTACACAAATACTCTTACACTGTGTACAAGTTAGTACAGAATTATAGCTATAAAGTGAAGGCATACGAAAGGAATATTTTTCTACAGTTTATCCCTAGTAACAGGGGACAGGCTAGGAAACATAATTCTTCCGACACTTCTACAAACCGTTTGGGGAAAAAATCTCATAT